TTTAAAGATACCCAGACATTTCGTCACTTTCCTCAAAAATCTATTAATAATTTAAGAAGGAGAGAAAAATAACCTTAATACTTTTTCCATGTAATAACATTGGTCGACAGTAATTTTGTTAAATGGATAACTGTAACATATACAACTCTGCTATGCTAAAGTCGAATATAACCACAAAAGATGTCCATCAGGTTCAGTTTTTTTAAATTTTAGATACATAAAATATATTTATTTCGCAGATAGCAAAGTTTTTTTTTAGATGTTCTTCTATTTGCTTGCAATTTTATTAGAAGAAGGTGGTCGCCAACTATATATGATAATATAGATTCCAATAAAAATATTAAATGCACATCAGAGCTGTCAAACTAAGTCTAGGGACCAATGCTTGTTCTCCGCAGAAGACATTTTAGTGTGTTGTACTGTATTATAGAAGTATACAGTACAATTCTAGTGTGTTATTAAGGGAGTTTGGAGAGCATCATGATCTTAAATGCAGGTTGGAATGGAATGGAAGTTGTTTATAGATTCCTCTAGAACAACCTCCAAAGATTTCTTTTTCAAAACCTTTGATTCCTCTTGCCTCTGCAGCCCACATAAAAGAGATGTATGACAATATGAAGATTTTGCTATCGAACATATAATACCAACAGCATTCTTGAAATAAATATGGCGTTTTGAAAATTACAGCACTTTTGTTAAGTCACCAACAAAGATATACTAAGTTTTGTTGTTTTCCATGCAAGTAGGATGAGAGAGACCACAAATATCATTTTGTCAAGAAGAAATCTGATACCTGGACACAAAAAACTTTTATATAAATAACAAAAATAATTTTTCAACCACTTGCAAACCTTGAATATGTATATTTTCTTCTTTTTGCGCATCAAACTTGGATTAATGAAAATTTTTGTAAGAGTCATTGATAAAAGTGGTCTAGGTTTTCTTTGCACTTAAAGAACAAATTTCCTAGGTTCAAGGTGGCTAAAATAAAAGAAGGTATATTTGTAGGTCACAAATTAGAGAACTTAAGAAGGATCATGTGTAAACTATTTGTTATTATAAAAGACAACAGATGGTGCCACGAACAAGAATGTAACTCCGTACAAGGGTGTTGTCTTGTACGGGGATTCCAATGTAAGAGAAAGGGCAAGTAAGGTAAGCTATGGAGTTAGCGATAACGAGCGGTGGCTCGAATAAGGTATTTTTATATATTGTAAATAAATAATTTGTACATATATCAACTGAAAGTTGTCTCAATTAATGATAAAAAGAAAAAGGAACTAACACATGTCTTTGAGGAAAATCTGAATGGGGTTGAAATAGCTGCACCTTTTAAAATCTTTTAAAAAGGTAGTAACTGAATTTCTGGGCAATAGAAAAAATAAGAACTATGGAGAACTAGTTTCAAAACTCCTTCAAAATTATAAAGCTCTGGGATGTAATATGCTCTTAAAAATACATTTTTGGTTTACATTTGGATTTCTTTCTTGGCGCTGTAAGCGACGCACACGGTGTGTGATTCCACCAAGATATTTATACAATGGAAAAACATCAGAGAAATTTGTATCCCAATATGCTTGTAGACTGTTGTTGCACGTTAAAAAGGATATCCCTCAAGCAAAATACATACAGAAGAAAACTGTTAAAAACTACATTTTGATTTAAATTAACACATGCAAGTAAATTAAATAAAACTAATCTCTTTACAACAGTATAAACTTTTAAATTTCGTATCACAAAATAAAAACCCCTTACCCGTTACAAAAAATGCTATGTAAATTTGGAATAAGAGCAAAATATTCCACAACAAGCAGCCATTCAATTAATTTAACAGGCTAAATTTAGTCGGTCAGAATAATTAAAGAAATTTAAAAAAAAAAAAGATTATATCGGAATGTGTATGTTTTTACTCTGTTATCTCTTACAACAATTTTTGTACAGACATTTTTTTTTTTAATGCAGCTGGCAAACACTTAGACACATGTCTTGGACGCCTTAAGACAAGCGCTGCACAGACGTTACTCACTTTGCATTACCCAGGGGCGCGTGTAACTTGAGGATAAGCCACGGACGAGGAGTAACAAAGCCCCCGCAACGCTCTACGATTCTATTAGACTGGGATCTAAGGTTTAAAATGGATTCCGAACCACTACACACATCCATGGCACCGTCGGGACTCGAACCCGAGGTACCAAGCGCCAGAGCGCTATCCAAACGGCCATTCAGGCCCCTTTTTGTACAGACATTTAAAATATAAGAGTTTTTCATTAGATGCAAGACTTCGTCCAGTATTTAAGCGTAAATTAAAATTAACACAAATTACCCCAAATTTAGCGTTAAATTTTTACGCCATAAATTAAGATTTCTGAGACATTAGCTGCATATAGTTTATATACAGACTTCTATTTATTCAGAGAAGTAGTTAGAGTTATGTTTACATTACTTAAACTGAATACGAGTCAGCATAAATTTTATCTTCAGTTATAGACAAGTATGCAAAATTGAAAATTGGAGTTTATTATGCGGATTTTTTTTAAGCAACTGCAAGAAAGTTTGAATTTATTTGAGAAATACTTGGTACCAATTCGAAAATAGAAATAAAACTTACCTTTCCGATCCAAATTTATGCGCCGACTACTTCAAGATCTGGGCCTGAATGTGGGCGAGTGGCTAGCGCTCTGGTGCTCGGTACCACAGGGTTCGAGTTCCGTCTGTGCCATGGATGTTTGTAGTGATTCGAATTCACTTTAAACCGTAGGTCCCGGTCTAATATGATCGTAGAGTGTTGCGGGGGCATTGTTACTCCGCGTCCGTGGCTTATCTTCAAATTACACGCGCCCCTGGGTAATGCAAAGTGAGTAACGTCTGTGCAGCGCTTGCCTTAAGGCATCCATGACCAAGCTGTCTAAATGTTTGCCAGCTGCATTAGATAGAGAAAAACTTCAAGATCTAGAACGATTTCAAAAGGAATTGGTATTTCGTGTTCTAGATATAGAACCATACTAAATTAAGTATTCGTAGGTGTTGCAGTTTTTCTTTCTTACTGATTAATGATAAAGAAATTAAATAATTACCTACTGCAATACTGGTTGCGGTTGTGACTTTTTTTCTTGAAACATCAATGCCCAACATGTAAAGATAGTCGATTTTAATCTAAAACACATTCACTTGACCTATTTGATGAAATCTTTATCCACGAAATGCTTCTTTCCGTTTACTTTTATAAGCACGCAATCACGCGTACAATAATAAGGTGTTATGAAAATTTTGTATCTTTTCACATTTTTTCCCCTTATATTTTAGTGTTAAAAAAGTTAAATTCTTTATGCAACGCATAAAAGATTTAAAAAAAAAAAAAAAAAACACTTAAGTTGTATTTTGGCAAAGCATTTTTTTATTTATTTTTTTTTTTTTTTAAATATGTAACCTTAATTTAGAAAAAAAAATTTTTTTTTTCAGGAATAATTTTTCTTATAATAAAAATTAAGATTTTTAGTTTGATTAATTCTAACTTTTTTTAAACTATAATGTTTAAATGAGATCCCGCTACGATGGACTGGAACTATAGTTCTTACAATAATTTAATTGTGAGTAAAACAAAGGCTAAAAAGGCGAATATGTCGAGGCAGCCAGGAAACTCCTGATCCTTTAGTCAGGCGCGTTATCCGTTGTGCCACTATCCCCGTAGGTTTGAATGTCTTAGGTACTTTCATTCTACATGGGTTAAATTGCTCTTAAAAAACACTCATCCTGGCGATCCTAATCATGATGAGATAATAAACTTATCAAAATATTTTATTGTCGTCGGTCCTGATAAGTCTACAACGTATAAATTAAATCTGATCGCTTAAAGTAGGGCAAAATCGATCCCAAAGAGTCAGTTACAAACAAACAAACAAACATACAGGTAAAACTAGTAAAAGCGTATTAATGAGGCAGACTAGGCACATATTTGTAAAGTGAGCAGGAAGTCTCAGATTCGTACCCGTTGTTAACTTGCTGTACGGTTAATGCTATCAAAATCGAGGAGATTAGATTGAGATAGCGGCAAGGTATGTGAAATGTTTTGCACCGATAAGCTGGCTGTCTTGTGAGAGTTTTCCGGATTTTCTCTTATACGATGTGAAAATGCAGGCAATTACCTCTAAAAGTCATCATGGAATATAAGATCCTCCCCCAGTCATCTATCAGGGGTTTGTTCATGGTATACACAAGTGGAACTGAATAATTAATAATAATAATCGTCTTCCGGCTGCATTCAATAATAACAACGAAAGCATGCTAATTATAAAGATTTTCTTGTTTTATCTTATAAATTCTTTTTGTTCTCTTTACTACGATATATATATCCATACAGGTGGTTATCAAAATAATAGAAACACTTGTGAATAAAAGTGACATTTAAGAATGCCCTTCGTAAGCATTAAAAGGGAATATTAGCTGCCAATTTTTAATATGAAAAGTATATATCATGGTAGTATGAGAGAGCTTTAGTAAAGTTGTATATGTCTTGAATTTTTGCCCAAAATTGTAAAATGTCAGACCTCACAGACTGTCAAAGAGGCCGATTGTAGGAGCGCTACTAGTTGGTGCAACTGTGACGAAACATCCCAAATTTTTAGGCGTTTCTAGAGGTATGGTGGTTGAAGTTATGGCAGCGCACATAACAGCGCGGTTAGATAAGCCCGTCAAAGCAAAAATAGTGGACGGAAGGAGGAGCTGAGTGAAAGAGAGCGACTAGTATAGTAGCGGATTGTGTTGTCGTATCTTAAAACCAAGACGAGCCCATACGTACTTGATTGAAGGAAGGAGGCAGCTTCTGTTGTGATTTAGCCAAGAAGTGACTTTGGCAGAGCGCTCTACAGTCATGGAAGACCGGGACCTACGGCTTAAAAGTGGATTCCGAACCACTACAAACATCATGGCACCGTTAGCACCGAGCGCCAGAGCGCTCACTCGGCCATTCAGGTCCCAAATTTAATGCAAACGGCACGCGGTAATACCCACCCAAGTACTGACCGCGCCCAATGATGCTTGACTTCGGTGATCTAACGAGAACCGGTATATTCAGCATGGTACGACCGTTGGCTTAGTAGCGAATTGTAATGTATCAAAAGAAAACATTTGCAGTCAAAGTGACTGCAGAGCTCAATCAGCATCTGGATTCTTCAATGTCAATAATCACAGTTAAGAGGCATCTTCATAAACAGGGTATTTACGGCAGAGCAACAATTCCAAGTCACTTGTCACAACTGTTAATGTCAAACATCGTCTACAGTGGTGCCAACACCACAAACCTGGTAAATTGATCAATGGAAACAGTTATATGGTTAGTCGAATCTTCTTCCCCACTTTTCCACACAATAGAATAGGGTGCACGTTTGGAGGACATCTACTCAAGCATATGAGGTTGGATGCTTGTTTCCTTCAATTGTCAAACATGGAGGTGGATTTGTTATGGTATGGACAGCCATGTTGTGATTTTCTGCTGGATCAATCGTAATCCTGAAAGGAAGGATTACTGGGGGAGAAGAATAAAGAAGTTGTAGCTAACCAGGTCCTTCCTATGATGTAAACTTTATTTCTTGGAGGAGTTGGAATTTTCCAGGATGATAATACTCCTATTCAGGCAGCAGGACCTATACAATCATGGTTTTTATAGACGGATGAAGTGAAGCATCTATCTTGGTCAGCACAGACCTTCCACCTCAATATCACCGAACTGTTATAGAAGAACAACACGAACTGTTAAGAATAACACGAGGAGTGGTTCAATATTTCTGTAAACACTATTCAGTATTTGTATGATTCGATTACCAGATGAATCCAAGCTGTATTGCATATCAAAGGTAGTCCTACCCTTATTAGTAAAGGATTCGTTATAACTCTAGGGCGTTTCCATTGTTTTGATAACCACCTGTATACACACATAGTATATATATATATATATATATATATATATATATATATATGTAGGATTTGTTTGTGTGGTAATCAGCAGGCGGCGACACATCACTGTTGCTTGTCTTTGACAGAGCCTGTTTACAACTTGGGGGACTATTCAACTTTGAACTCTGACCCCACGAGAAGGGACAGGTCCCTGTGGATGAGAAAAGAAGCCCCGTAGATGGGCGCGAGAAGAGAACGACTGGCGGTCAAGGAAGAGGAGCGATTTGGGCAGGCTGCGTCAAGCGGTGAGAGAATATGTTTACTCCTTAATTAACAACTAACGTGCCCCCCTTATTGTAAAAATATAGTATCATTAAATGGCTTCATTTAAAGTAACGTCCCTTTTTACTGCCTTTTTGTCTGTCAAATCCCTTTAGACACTCCACTGCAAAAAGTCCAGCCAGGCGGTAGTTCAAAACCGTAGGTTCGAAATGAATCTATTGGGGTGGTCATAAAAACTGGTTTGGCCGGGATGAATCTATTGACCCTGTATATATACATATATATAAAGATAAATAGTGACAGAGAAAGAGAGATAGATATATGTTGAAAATAAAATATTAATATTTTAGTACTGCCCCTCTGAAAGTCACTTAAGTAAATTATACAAATTCAATGTATTATAATAAAAAATGAATGTAAAATAACATTTTTTGCAATACCATTTGGGTTTTTCCACCTTGGTTTTCTTTTTTTTGATTGAATTTTAATTCTGAGAATGCCTTAAAATTGTATTGTTAATGAAATTTAATAGAATTTAACAGTAAAATTGTATAAAAATATAATTTTTGAATATAAAAACTGAGCAAATATATAAAAATCTCTTATTGAAAATTTTGTTAATAATTTGAATCGTGAAGAATTTTTTTTTTCAAAATTTGAAACGTGTGCTTTAAAAAGAATAGAAGACGAAAACAATTAGTAAGAATTTATGTTAATAACATAATAAGAAAACAATTTCTGATGCTATGTAGATATAAATATCTTTTTAATATAAATGAATTTCTATGAGACATAAAATTGAACTGAAAAGTGCATATTAGAGGTTCTTAATATTTTAAGGTGTATTGAGAATATAGCTTTGAAATCTATAAAAATTAAATTATTTTTTATTCTAAATCCAAATAACACTTTGCCAATTTAAAACTTTCATTAATACTTCTCTTTAGTTTTATAAAAAGAAAGAAAACAGGGTGGGCAAACTTTTCTTTTGGTCTCGGAGAATGTAAAATCAGAAAAAAGTTTGACGGGCCAAGATAAATTTTTCGAAAATTTTAAAAACAATATACAAGTATTGCAATTTAAATATGTTAATGAGATGAATGAAATGTGCTAAGTTTCATTTTTAAAAGTTTATACTGAGGTATCAGATGTACTTTTTTAATGTAGGAGACTGTCAGATGAGCATTTAATAACTCTTGAAAATCTTTTACACTGTGCCACCATATTCTTTTTTATCATATAAATAATGAAACCAAACAGAAGTATTATGAACTGATTTATAAGTTCTTAAGTTATTCTTATTCATTATTTAGGGTATTATTTATGAAAATATACTATAATAAATCTGAAAATATTTTGAACTTAAAGTTGGTGCCAATCTAACAAACTCCAATTTAAAAAAAGAACTATTACACACTTTCTTCAAACTACAACTTACCGATTGAAATAAGAATTTCTAGTTTTCCGATAAGATTTGAATAAGTTTTGTAGAAAGAATAAGAATTTCAGAGATAAGAATTCTACATTTCTAGTCCTTTGAAAAAGGAAAAAAATAATACCGCATTCAAAATTGTACAAATGGCTCAAAATACCGGTATTCGGTATTCCGGTATATATTAATTTTAGAATATAGCTTGGAAATCTATAAAAAATTAAATCCATTTTTATTTTAAATCCAAAGGCCTTTGCCAATTAAAACTTTCATTAATGCGTCTCTCTTGCTTTATAAATCGCCCAGCTCGTAGCATGATAAGACAGAAGTACAACTAAAAGGCGATATGATTCCTGTTGTTGAAATGCATTGTAATCCTTACTTTCGAGGCAATTGATTAAGAATATCAAAAGAAATTTGCAATATAAATAACATTATCAGATTTCAAAGTAAAGAAACATATTTGCTATAATAAGAAAAATTAAATGTGTGTCAGATGTATTTAAAAATCCTTTTTAGTTACGGTGAGTTAACCTTTAGTTACCTAAAGTACTACAAGCAAATAGGATCGTGTTGCACAACCATAGAAAATAAAACATTTTTAGTTTTGTTTAATTTTTTGTATGGTGAAAATATTGTTGCTGAATTAAGAGTTTGAGATTTTTAAAAACTTGCTAAAAATAATCTAAATGGGTTAAATAAAGATATCATAGTTATAAAAAAAATTTCAATTAATTTTTCTTTCTCGCCTATCAGCTGTTAACATTTCTATTTAAAAAAAAGAAAAGATAATAGAACAGACAAAACGTAAGCGAAGAAATATCCTTTTTTAAAATTCAAATATAAATTAACTAACTATGATACCAGAAAGAATGGCATCATGTTTTTTCAACGATGGGCGCCATCTTGTAAAGATTTTATTTTATTTTTCAAAAAATTAAATGTTTTCTTAATTTTTTATTGCGATTTAGATAAAAATAGAAGTTCAAATAAGTAAAAATAAAATGGATGTTTACTTTTTATAGTGTTTTAGGAATTATAGACTCACATAAATCTTTTTTATGTACTATATAATATAAACTTTAAAAAACTTGTTAAAATATTAAAGTTAAATAAATGTTAAGATTAAAGTTAATGTTTGTTTTTAACATTAATTTACTCCACAATAGTTCATGTTTTTTTTAAGTAATTTAATTTATTAGTTAATATTTATTTGATATTTATTATTTAGTTTTATATAAGTAAAAAAGAAATTGCCAAAATTCAATACTGTGATGAAATTTTTTTAGAGAATTTTTAGAATGGATGTTATATTATTTTTTTCAATGTAATTATTAAATTTTGTAACAAATATTGATATATAATATATAATTTTAATTTTAACGTATAGTAGAAAAATGATATGATAAGACAATACAAAAAATATTTGTTGTTTCATTAAAAAAAATTCATTCAATTTAAATATAAATATGCCAATAATCATTAATATTATATAATGGAACATTTCAAAATGAGTGAGACAACATTTTATTTACATATTTTTAATTAAATTAAAAATAAATTGCCTTAAATCAGACAAAGTATATACAAATATGAATAATATTAGAATGAAATCACAATGCGAAAACTCCAAATCCAAATTTACAAATTGTTCTGATAAAATGCATACAAAAATTTAACTAAAAATTAATGTGTAATTTACATTATTTTAGTGCAAAACTTCTACTTTATTTTTAAACTTTGCATAATTGATAAAAATTATTTAATTATTGCTTTCTTGAAACTACTAATTGTTAAAATGAAATTCTTGCAGTTACAATTGATTTAAATATTTCCTGAATTAAGATATATACTCATTATTGATAAGTTTCGAAAAATTAGAAATTTTATAGAAAAATTTACTATTTTGTATAAACAATAATTGTTCAGAATAAAATTAAAACTAAAATTAGTTACAATGCAACCGTTTTTAATATTTTAAAAAAAGCTTTAACCAATTATTTACCATAAGATGATAAAGCAATCACACAATATGACATGATTTTACTTAAAAATGCATAATATAGAAATAATAATTGATTAAATATAGAAATTTTGTTCAAACACAGTAATATTTTACATAGGAAATCTTTACCATTATTTTTGTGAAGAATATTTTAGAATGCTGTGTAGTTGGTGAACATTGTCAGACAACAGCAATGAATTTCCTTGAATGTTACTGATTGCACCTGCACTAATATATATTTTAAACAGCAAATGGATATTAGATATTCAATAGTTATATTAGATGTGGCTTTTAATCTGACTTCTTTTTATCTCAGATGCTTAATGATTTTCTGGCTGAAGAAATATGTTTTAGTCAGTTCATAAACACAGATCTGTCTTTCTGTTGTTAGTTAAATTTAGTTTTCTATTTAAATATTTTGGAAAATTCTAATTTTAACTACTCAGTCCTTCTGATTAAATTCTATTACAATTTGAAA